CGTGAATAAATAAATAAATAAAAACAAATAAATAAAATTTATAAAATTTATTAATTTATCTAGGCTGTGTGTGTTGTCTGGTCCAAGGTCACTTGTGTTTTGATTGGTGTTTTTTTTTTTTTTTAAGCAACCAGCATTGATCGCAAGAGCAATCAATATCGTTTCTAGTAATTTCTATCAAGGGAAAATTCGAGCGCACATTTAAAAATATAAAAAGGTTTTACTCATTGGAAAATAAATGAATATTATTATTATTTTTTTTTTGTTAACCTTTAGCCTGAGCTCTTGCGTTTATGTAAACACGTTGCTCACACACTCATGCCCTTCATTTTATGTTTATAGAACTTACCTCTTATTCAACCGGTATGCAGATTCCCCTTTACCCTGAAATACTCCGTCGACAAATATACCATTTTTTCCTTTGCACGACAAGTAAAAATTGGGGTAATCAAAGCACAATTCAAGGTGATTTCTCGAAATAAAACTGGAATGTCCCATGTTTACTTCGACCTGGCCGCGAGAGCTATTTCGTCCAATTGTAATTCTTTTTTGTCGCATAATATACTCAAAATCGCGACCCTCTATCCTTGCGATGGCCGTGTCATTTGAGTCCGGACTCCAGCGTACTTTTGATGGACTAGCCGGTGCACTTTTTAGGGCTAAAAGAGCCCATGCATCACTTTCTTGTGTCCGTGATACAGACATCACCGAAAAACAAATATGGCGACTTTAGAGCGGATGTTTACCCACAATCCAACGTGGGTGGCGAACCACGTGACGACTCTAACTCGTATTTTATTGGTTAATTTTTTATGCTTGGTTCAATCGATACATTTTCCTACGTTGGCTATCATTTCAAATTGTGTTTTGTTAAAATAAAAAAATTAATTTATCAACGTTTTCATTTTGTTTTTGTAATTAATATTAAAACGTTAATTTTTTTTTTTTTTATTTAAATCACTTTATTAAAAATAATTTAATTTTTTTTTTTACAAACCGACGAGTGACAACAACAACCTTTTACTTAATACAAAACAAAAGAATTCATTTAACGTTATTATTCCGGAAAAGGAACCTGGAAAAAAAAAAAAAGATTGTTGACATTCAGGAACAAGAATCAACACTTTAAAAAAAATGTTTAAAAAAAATGATGTTTTCTTTTTTTTTTTTTTTTCCCTTCCTTTTCCTTTCGTATTGTTATTATGTATAAGGCCTTGTTTTATAAAAATTTTACAGTTTTAAATTAATTAATTTAATGGATACTAAAAAATTTCAGAAACTTAAAGACAAGAAAAAAAATTTTCAAAGTATTGCTATTAATACGGAACCGATCGTTTGTGCTTCTTGCGGTTCGAAAGTTCACTTCAAACCATTTTTACAAACAAATTTTTTTCGGCCATATTCTTCAAATTCATCAAGTAAATATATATTATTAATAAATAACAAATAATTAAGTCTTATT